GAAGAAAATCTTAGGCACTGGGAATACAAGAACAAACATAGTCAACATGCACTTGATTCTCAAGGGGCTGCAAGTCTATCACAAAAGAAATTTGCTAATCATGTAATCATATAAACAATGGGAAATTGCAAACAAAAAATTCAAAGGGGTCAGAGGAAGCTTTCGTAAAGACACACATGGGGATGAATTCCAAAGGCCCGAACAAGAATTAGACAAAAGTGAGGACAGCAGTATTCCCAGCAAAGGGAACATCAGAATGCCCCATGTACAAGCCCTGTGGCATGAGGAATGCGGATGGAACTAGGGTCTTAAAAGAAGCCAACAGAGCTGGAATAGAGAAAGTGAGAGAAAGGGTGAGGGGCTCTAGAGAGAAATACTAGAGCATGAAGAGCCTTTGAGGGCAGCTTACAGAAGGTTCTCTCCATCCTACAATTAAAAAGTGCTGATTTTAAGCAGGTGATGCTCTGATGGCTATGAATTTAGAAGACTTAGAGTACTGCAAATAGAATGGGAGCAAAGTTTTGGTCAATAGAGTAGAGAAAAAACTACTGTTCGGATGGGTAATGATGGTACAACTTTGATGCAACTGTAATTTCATGGGTGTTTGAGCCAACAAAACTGGAGAGATGTGGGTTTCTTTGAAGTACATTAGAAAGGAGAATTTGAGATAATTTGGTAATGGATCAGATATGGTTAAAGAAGAGAGGAGAAGGGGACTGTCAAAAATGACTCATAGGATTATCTCTCCTGCAACACGATGGATGACTAAACCACTCCAGGGCTGGGGACCATAGAATGTGACTCAAGTGAGACCAAGATGATGAGATCGTTTGTGGACAACCGAAACGTGGCTTGCTTTTCAAGACTTCCTGCTGGTCATGTTGTAGAAGTAGTTAAATACATAGTTCTAAATGTCAAACATAAGTATGAGTTAGATTTGAATATAGGAGTCATCTGAGTGATAGTAATAAAGAGTGCACTGGTACAGATGAGCTTCCTTGGACAGAAAGAGAGAGCATCATGGAAAAAGAGAAAGGCACAAAATTCAATTTTTAGTATTAGTAATGTTTAATAAATGGCACCAGAGAGAAGAAAGAGTCTGCAAAAAACACAAAAAGAACTAAAGAGGCAGAAGGCAGTGCTCTTGAGTATTTTGTAATGCAAACCGATGTTGAGACATTTGGCATACAATCTGTTAGGGCTGTTAAACATGAAATAGGATGGATAGATGATAGATAGATAGATAGATAGATAGATAGATAGATAGATAGATAGATAATTTTATTTTATAACATTAAATAACATTAACATATAATGGTGATGCACACTTCAATATTCAAATGATAAGGAAAGAAAGTGTATGACTGTAAAAATAAGTACATTTGAAGAAAGAAATGTGGTCTGGAAGATTAGGAAACAATGGAGATAGGAGTGTAAGAATCTTTTGCAAAGATTTATACAGCGTCCGCTCTTAACCAAGTGTATTTGCTGCAATATGGGCAAAGAAGTATGAAGCATCATCCTCACACCCAGTGCAGGTTTAAAGAGGATGAAATCCAACATTGCAATATAATATGCTGATTTGTTTCAGTAGCAATGGCATAGGAAGCCAGCATGGAATGGGGAATTCTTCAATTGAATTGGAGGGATCACAGTCCTGTATTCTGAAGTTTTGAGGAGAAGTTGGAAAGATGATGAAGAATTATGGAATAACGTTGGAGAATACAAGAGATTTAGAGGATGGCATTCTGGGTAGCAAAAACAGCAGCATTTAATTTGCAGAGATGTAGAAGTACAGAAGCAATGTGACATTCTGCAGTCATTCTACATAGGAAAAGAGTGACTGACAAGAGAGGAGGGTTGCAAGGCAAGGATGGATCAGATTTTAAAGGGTCCTGTGCCCAGGTAAGGAGTTGTCCTGAAAACCCACACATTTCAAGCAATTCTCGACTTCATTAATCGCACAGTAGCTGGACTATCTTCTTTCAGTTCTGCAAACTGACCTAGTTTTAGCAGGAAAGAGAAATTAGTGAGAACTGAGCAAGCAAGGGAAAATTAATCTCATCTAAGTTAGGGAGAAAAAAAGAGCTTCAGAAAGGATAGTGTCTGAAGCTACAAGAGGAAATAAGTTCATTCATAGTTTGCCAGACATTCATAGCACCCTTAACATTATCATGAAACTACTAAAATTAACCAAATGCCTAATTACTTCATTTATTAAGTAGCTCACTGCAAACAAATTACCAAGTATTAATATCCTAACAACTCAGAAATTGTTTGAACAAATAATATGCATAAACTGAAAAAACATGTTTTGAAATTAAGTAACTATAACTAGCAATGAGATTTGGGTGCCCATCAGACATCGCACTATTTTTCAATAATAGCTGCGGTGGAAGAATAAAACCTGCCTTACTTGGACAACTAAGGGATTCCCCAGCCTGCCTGCTCTCCTCTCACATTCCCTACAGAAAGCTTCTCTGCTAAACTCTATCCCAAACACACACACTTTACCCCTTAAGTAGAACTCAGTCATTATCCCTACTTCTCATCTGTCATTTAAAGGAGAGGCAGGGAGAAAAATATAATCAACCTCCCGTACACCTGTCATAATTGCTGAATGAAACACACACACACACACACACACACACACACACTGAAACACACACAAATTAGAATCTCCAGCCACCTGAGACCAAAAATCAAAAACAAAAATAAGAAGAAAACATATGAATAACCATAATTCAGGAACAGAACAGATCTTCAAAGAATTCTAATTAGTATTGTCAAAAATATTATCAAACAAAATAATAATAGCTACCTACAGCAAAGAGATAAAAAATGAGAGCACTCTTAAAATTGTAAACATAATTTCAGAAAAATATTAATAAGTAGAATAGTAAATTGAACCCGCTCTAATATCAAGTTTGCAATCAATCTGGGGATGAGAGTCCAAGAGACTTCTTAGAGGGCAGAATTAAAAGATGATAAATCCATGAAAAAATTTCTAAGTCCACCTACTAGCAATGACATGAGTTAAGAGAACTAGGATTTCAAAATCGGTAGGCATAAAATTAATTAAAGACATACAAGGTGTGTTAAGAATACAGTGAATTTTTAACTTTTTATAACTTGTTACAATAAAAGTCATAGTGTCATGGATCCCCTTCAAAATGATTCCTCTGGCTTCAAACACATCCCAGCATTCTTACCACTTTTTAAAAATTTTATTTTGTTTTGTTCTGTTTTATGTTTTTAGTATCTGTTTGCAGCACATGAAACTTATATTTATCTTGGGGAGTAGGTACTTATACATAATGTAGCTTGTTTCTTCTTTGTTAATCCCATTTCCACTCACCTCCCTCCCTCCACCTCTAAATCTCCTTTCTCCATTTTCATTCTTATTCTTAGCTCAAATTTATGACATATAATTGTTTATATTTGTTGAGGTTATTAGGTTCCTGTACATGGCATATTCTGGAAGTTCTTCCTAAACGTCTTTAGTTGCACTGTTGTGGTTGCCTCAATGACCTGGATCAAATCAACACACTTAGCTTTCATGGTTATTTTCATTCTGGGGAAGAGCCAGAAGTCACACAGTGCCATATCAGGTAAGCAAGGTAGAAGAAGACCCGCCGTAATCTTTCTATCAGCCTACCTTTCTGTTGGAGGGCAACTGCCAACAGCATTTACTGTATTTTTTTTTATCACATCTCACAAAGACACTTATGAAGGAGAATTTCTAGACCTGCTTCAGAAAGTAGCAAGAATGATGGGCTAAGTGTATTGAAATGAGAGAGAGTATTTTTTTGAGGGGTATTCGTGGAAATGTGCATTTTACTGTGACTTTAAAAAATTTAATGTTCACTGTGTATTTTGGTCACATCTCATATTTCAGTAATATAATGATAAGACCAGAAATAAAGAAACACATTCTTAGATTCAAAAATTTCTCCAAACACAGAGCAGAAATGACATAAAAGGAAACCACACTTAGGCACACCTGGTAAAACTTAGAGCTCTAAGAATAAAGACAGAAATATAGATCATTGTGAAGAAATGGAAGTACTAGAACGCACATATGAATTCTAGAACATATGTGAAGAGGACAACAGCATGAATACTACTCATAGATTGTGTAGGTTTTAAACCTATTTCTCAGACATAAAACACAATTTTTGTAGACATGTTGTTTACCTTCTCTGTGCCTCAATTTACTATCTATCAAATGAGACAATAATATACTCTCTTGTGGTTATGTTTCCAAGTTAGTAAAATGAATGAACTGATGTATATGAACTGCTTAAAATATTGTCTAGCATATGGTCCAAAGAACTAAAATAAGCAATACTGAAGGATATTTTAAGAAAATAAAATAATATTTTCAACTTTCTAAGGGGAAATTATCTTGAAACTAGATTTCTGCATCCAAACAATTATGCAATTCCTGGAGAAGACAACAACACCTAACTAGACATGAAGCTAGAAATGTCTTCAGTCATATATCTTAAATTATTGTTTTGTTTAAAGAAAGTACAGAAAACGTTTGTGAGGAGATAATAAAATATCACTGAGGCTACTTTTGATTCAGAAAATTAAAGAGAGATATAAGGAAAAATAACAGAATCCAGAGTCTATGATGCTTTGAGGTCAGAAAGTCTATTTCAAATAAGCGTCACTGATGCAGAGCTTTTTTTTTTTTTTTTTTTTTTTGTCCTAGGGATTGAACTCGGGACCTCAGGTAACATAATAATAATGTAATAACCAAATTGAGAAGCTCAGAAAAGAAATAATAGAATAAACAGAAGAATGCATGTCAAGCTCCTCATCTTTCCCAGCAGGAAGTTCAGAGTATCAACTAAAGATAATGTCAAAAAATAATACGTGGAATCAGAAGTTATCCTGCTTTCCTGATACTTACTGCATCACTGTGCTACCAAAATCCTATATTCGGGAGTTTCAGGAAGTGATGCAACTACTAAACAGTGAAGGAATGATACAGTGCCGCCATTTTGCAACACCTAGTGTGTTACCAGATACTGCTTTGTTCAGGTGACAGAACAGAACCAGAGAAAACAGAGGCAAATGTCTGTCTGCATTGCCAATGTTGTACTGCAGCCCACCGATCAAAAGAAATTAAAACTGAATTTGATCAAAACTATAGCAGTAATGGCTAATTTATAAGACATTGTAGAGATCAAAGAATATTAAATGACCCCACAAGAACTAGGCAAATCTCTATAGGACACACAGACTCATTTTAAAGAAATTAAAAGAAACTTGAAAGCCTATCATCTAATCATGGTATTGCGGTTAGAAAGGTACTTGGAATCTGATTCAAGCAATCTTTAAAACATCAGAAATGAAGAAGGAAGGAGAGGCGAACGGAAGGAGGAAGTGAGAAGAAGAGAAATCAGGGAAGACAATGGGAGGTGTCCATGCCTCTGAGGGGAAGAGCTGACCCATGGAGTGAGGGG